TCTATTGGAACTCTATTTCTCCAATTAAGTTGGAAAATACGGTTGCCCATGTTCGATTAGAGATTTAATAGGCTTTCGGCCGACTGCCCCAATGATTAACTCCCTAAGCTCACGGACATTGTGGAATTGTGCATTACTCTCATGGATCATACGCACCATGAAGCCCCTCACATCCTCGATTGGGTTTTAGTCGGGGCTACTCGCTGGCCAGGGCAAAAGAGCGGTTTGGTGACGACTGAATCACGCTCGAGTGCTTCGACTGTCATGAACTGGTGCATTATCCTTGCATGAAAACAGGACTTTCTTGCTGATTTCTACGCCAGAAAGCAAGGAGACGTCGTCGCATGACTTTTAGATGACGGAAGAAATCATTTTCTTTTTTACGGAGCACAGTTTCAGACGTTCCATTGATGCGATGGCAGGCCAGACCATCCTACTATATATAAACGGCAACGTCTGTTTGTCTGTGTCTGTCTGTCTGTCTGTCTGTCCGGAAATTCGGAATCACCTGAAGAGCCAGTTGGAGGGGGCGGGTCAAGGGTGGGTTGGGTAGGGCATGGGCCAAGATGTACGGAACACACATGAACTAAGCTAAGCCCCGCCCACTGTGGGCGGGGCGTGCGCACAGTTGTGAGCTACAAATTTCAAAAATTCGTAGTTTGGTTCCAAAAGAGCCCCGGAAAAAGTGGCAAACGATAGGCAATCAGTTGGCGGACGAAATGACTGACGTCGAAGTGAACAGCTGAGACCAAAAGTCCTCAACGCTAAGAAAAACCCCACAAAATAGGGAAGTCAGATGAAGTTAGTTAGTGGAGGGATAACCCTAGACAGTGTACCAAATGGTTGGTACCGTCGGCAATAATTCTGCGATTCCTCATCACTAAGGGGAGTGCCGCATAGAAAATTTTGACGACTGTCTTCTAGGGGGGTATATACAAGAAGTGAAACGGTAAAGTGCGGTAATTCTCAAAACAATATTTTTTTCGACCATTCGCCCGGCGAAGCCGGCCGATCCGACTGGCCCTCCCACTCATGGAAAACTTCTCACCGGTCAAACTCTCTATCAGCTGTCCGCTACCCTCCTACCGCGCCATATACGGTGTCTGCTACCCTTCTATCGCGCCCTACTCTCCACTCAGACGCTGCTAGACGCTGGTGGACGCTGATTGACGCTGATGGAAGTGTAGATCGATAGCTATTCTTAGCTGGTCGCTGACGCCGCCGGACGCTCGGAACGCTGGGAACCCTACTGGTCACTGGTGGAGACTCCCGCAAAGAAAGGCAGCCCAACAAGGAGTCGTAGCGGTTCTCACATTATACCTTGCGACTCCGTTCTTCATGATATCCTGGAAAGGGAGAGGGCGCGCTCGCGCAATTCTTTTGGACAAGGCCTGTAATGAGCTTCTGTTTGAGGCGGATGTCACTATATCTTGTGCTGGACGAAGGCACGTTTATAGTTATCCTATAACGAGACCCAACAAAGCGCAGCCATGGCTACGCTTAGACAAAAGCAAGCTACGTCTTCCTCATAGCCGTACCAGAGGCCCGCCCCTGGACGCTCGCGAGATCGGGATATGCTCCCAAATAAATCTGTTGCAAAACGCTCACCGAAGAACAGTATATTTAAATGCATGACACTGAAAATGAAAGAGCAAGCTTTGAGCTTTAATGTCGTGTAATGACTATCTACAAATATTAAGAGCAGATTATTAAAAAACGATCTCAGAATCTGATTCCTTGCAAAATCATGACGTACCATCCATATTTCTTGACCTATTCTGTATACAAAGCAATGAATATACAAGCACCATTTGATAAACACAACAGTCACATAAGTTCCTAGTCAACAACCAATAAATATATATTATACATGTAAAGTGACATCCAACTTGGCCACTACACAGTGACTACCATTGTGGGGTCAACATATTTCCGTGAATGTTTCCTGTAAGGAGAGCAGCAACGATCCACTGGTTCAACGAGTACCCTTTATTATCACGTCTGATTTATAGATGGATATTTGTGCGTGAGAGCTTCTGGACATAACAACTCGTTCGGTTCAATCCATAGCTCTGATTTGGATTTCTTACGTGACAACGACAGACCCCTCTTCGTGACCTAAATTTTATCGCATTATTTTATGTGATATATGCACTCAAATTCCCTGAGATGGGGTGGGCGTGACTGAACGCGGAGGCGGCTAAGCTATCTATGAGTTATTTTGATCTCGGGATAGCTGCAATCATGTCTCCGGTGACAGCTGTCTCAAAGTGAAACATCTCACGAGTACCATCCTTAGCTGATGTTCAGACGTCACGCGCCTACTCCGATCATGGATAAGGAGTTGCGCTATGCGGTCACCTTAATTCTTATTCCGGGAACAAGCTGAGTTAGTCCGCCCACTGCTAAGGCATCCCTCTTTTCAGCAACAATTTTTTGTCCTAGTAACTGATTAAAGTGTGTCGTGAGATGCCGTCGTAATAGGGTTTTGTGCGGTGGCATTTGAAGGATTTCTGCCAACGTTTCAGCGTGAATGTTGGCTCGTAAACCTAAAATGAACCAAATAATTGAATAAACAAGCAAATTAACAAAGAACAAACAAAGAAATAGTATGAATCAGTTTTTTGCCACAAATGTGTCTCAACTTCGCTACTTGACTCCATATCGAGAAATAGTAATCTTTTTTCAGACAAGTGAAATCAAACAAAGGATTTGTCAACTGATCTTGATCTTTTCTTTCTGATCCTCACTATGAAATGGAATCCCGCTCAAGACAGACTTTGCTGATTGACTGTGCTGACTTTACCTCGAGAAATATCAAGCATCAATTAATTAAATATTAATTCCTGCGCTCGAGCAAGTTGTAGGCGTCCTTCCTTCTACAAGTAGTCTGGCTGCCAGTCTCCAAAATTAACCTGCTTTCTCTGCTCCACATTGATGACGAACGACCTATGACCTTCATAAGTAGCATTTCTGACGCCTCTTCAGTATTCTCGCCCACCGAAACTGCCACTCCTATCGCACCATACTTTCTGGCAGCTGTCTGCTACCCTCCTATCTACCCACACTCTAACAGTTGTCCGCTACCCGCCTATCGGCCATACCCTCCTCTCCCAGACGCTGTTAGACGATGCAGACGCTTAGATGGCTTATCTTTATTTCCTAGCTGCTGACGCCTGGCCCAACGGCTGGTAGACGCTATCGGTCGCTGGTAGACGCTGCCTCAAAGTATGGACGCAGCCTAATACGGACCGTAGGTACCCACCATGAGAGCTCCCGGTGTACCAGCACACAGCATATTTGGCGTGAACTCGGCCAGATCAATCTTTCGTAACCATTCACACGTTGCTGCATGAGTCCAATGAACGACAGCTTCAGGTTTCGGATAACTTGTCACGATCGACTGAAATAAAAGAACATGAGAATGACTTGAAGTGAAAATAAAGGCTACCAGAACTTACTTCGTCAAAAGTTCGCACCATGTAATCAGTTTTAAAGTCAACCATTTTCAGGTACTGAATACTTCTACATATACATAAAAAGTGATGAGCGTTAAGTACCCGCATCTGAAAAGAAAATGGCTTAACTTATGAAATCGTACTATGCAATTAGTTAAGAACGTATTCGCGATTGCAGATCGGACATATTGAGGTTCAAAAATGGATTCGTAGATGTCAAATGACTCCGCAATCAAAGCGAAAACAGAAAACCAGTCAAAAACAATGAGACCCGCTTTATTTTTAGCGGTGGGGTGCGGTGGCACAGCCACAATCAATCCATCTGTTTGCTACCCTCCTACTTCCCCATACTCTCTACTCCCGGTCGCTGGTGAACGCTGGTGGACGCTGGCAGACGCTGGCAGACGCTAGATCGATATCTATACTTTCCTAGTCGCTGACGCTGCCGGACGCTCGGAACGCTAGTGGTCGCAGAAACACGCCGGTAGACGCTTGTGGACGCTGTCGCAAAGTGTAAACATAGCCTTACTACGCCTTAGTTACTGTCCGCCTTCATAACCATTACATTGAAAATTTAAAAAGAATGGAAAGCGCGTCACCTCAACCAGGTCGGCCGCCGTGAGCGCGGAAAACATCAACCCGTCAATCAAGTTTTCACAGAAAACTTCTTTGTACTGTGGGAGGCCAATGTCTTCCAGCCATTTCTGTGTCTTAATGTATATGAATTAATACGTCAATATTCATAATCAAATCGATAATCATCAAAACACCACCACACCTTTTGTATGTCCCAGTCACCGGCCACGTTGCTCGCGTCGTTTTCAATTCGACGTAATAATAAATTGAGACGTTTCCGGTGGAGAGGATTTTTAATACCAAGGACCTAAAATATGAGATAAGTAATAAGGTTTCCTCTTGTCAGAATCCAAGAACACTCACCATTTCGTACTCGTGGCTGTTCATGTTAAGAAAATGTCGTCCCGATCGAACATACTTTAATACTTCCGGCACATATTGAGCAAAGCCAATTTCTCCCATCCATTCTGCTAATTGCTCCGATTTCCAATCGACAAACTGTGATGATGTTGGGAATAGTTCCACACCACCCGCCAGTGGATCGCTTGTGAAACGGACAGATGATGCGGACCTTAACATTATTGAAGATCAGGTTGGATGTACCCAGAAGTATTTGTAACAGTGCTGCTGAACAATACCGCCGTGCAAAACGAGTCATTTTCGGAGAGGGAAAGGCTGCGTTCATACTTTGCGGCAAGGTCCACCAGCGAGCGTTCGGCAACGTCAGCGACTAAGAAAGTTCTCCATACCCTCTACTCTCTGTCTCTCATGAACGGCGGTGGACGCTGGCAGAAGCTGGTGGACGCTAGATCGATAGCTGGATCCTTCCCTCGAGACGCTGGCAGACGCTGGTGGACGCTAGATCGATATCTGCACTTTCCTAGTCGCTGACGCTGCTGAACGCTTGGAACGCTAGTGGGCGGTGGGCGCTGCCGCAAAGTA